CAGGCACCCCTGCACACAGCAGGGCCGCGCGGCGAATGCTGGCGGGCTGCCGTCGAAGATCCCGCGCGTCATCACGGGGGTCGTGCGTCTGTCGGGTGGGTGGTAACGGGGGGGTGACCCAAATGGGGCGTGCAGAAAAGGGCCCTAAAGGGGCTCTTTACGGCCCATGTTGGGCCCCTACTGGCTCCAGCAGGTCCCCCATGCGGGACACCCCCCCATGACCACCCGCCCGAGTCTGGTGGGATCGCCTCCAACAGGAGAGCACATTGGCCGGATCCGCACGGGCGTCGTGGCAATGCCCCGCGGTGGCCCCAGGCAGGATGCCGCCGGGCGCCCTGGAGGTGCCAAGCGGAGCGATGCTGCCGGCACCACATCCCGCACGCTGCTCCCCGGTGGCATGCTTGGCGAAGCGGTAGACCTGGAGGCCGCTGGCGATGCCACGTCCACGTCTGGCTGCGTGGCGCGCTCCAGCAGCTGCGCGGTCGCCTTCCACTGCGCGGCGGGGCTGACCAAAGACCGCATGCTGTCCGCGAGCATGTGCGCCACGCGAGGCGAGCTCTGCGGCGTCAGTGGGCTGTCGCAGGTCGAGGGCAGGTCCAACTCCAGCGGCGGAAGCGTGAGACTGCTCCTCGTGCTCTCCTGGTTGGCTGCTTCCAGTTTCCGCTGGCCCCCGGACTTTGGAATGAACTGCTCCGCCTTTTCGGTGCTCGCCCTGGGCGTTACGGCTGGCTGCACCTCCTCGGCCATCGTCTCCACGCTGAGGCCAGCTGGCGCTGCCTCAACCTGCGCGCCGCCAGACGCAAGCGCGCGCTTGTCCGCGGTTGGGGAGGTCGCCCTACCGACACCGACCGCAGCTGGCACTGAGCCAACGACGCTGATGCTCTGGGTGAGCTGGGGCACCAACGCCGCAATGGCCTGGTTGTCGCCCTCGAGCATCTTCACGGCCCTTTCGAGGCCTCCCCGAGCATCTGCCGAGCCCGAACGCTGCAGCTCTGGGGCCGGCTCGCAAGCCAGATGGGGCCCGCCGTCCCTGGCCCAGAACGGCGGTGGGTCCCTCGAGGAGCCCCGACGGGACAGACGCCCGCAGGAATCAGAACGGTCCTGGCTGCGCCCGAGCGCGTCCTCCCGGGCCCTCTCCCGCGCGCCGAGGTAGCTCAGCAGCCGCTCGCTCTTGTCCTGAGGCAGGTGCGGGAGTATATCGAGCATCAGGCAGTCGAGCTGCTCCTCCGAGACGGCATTGGGGGCTTTATAGTGACTCGCTGGGAGCGCAGAGCGGTGCTCCTCGACATCGAGTCGGTGGTACACCGGGTCGGAGCGGTTCGGAAGACTAGCCATGTTTGCAACTGTGTGAATCAGGGTGGCATGAGCCAAAGGCCTTGTTGGTGCTTCGATCGATCCAGGCCAGGGAGCTGTTGCAAGTGTGGTCGATGCTTCGAGTTTCCACAAAACGAGCTGTTCACACATGTGCGAAACTAACAATCCTGAGGTTCCTTCGGGTGCAATGTGTTGAGTCTGTGAAGACGTTTTGACCGAAACCAAACATTTTTCCGAGCGCTTCGGGACGCCCCTGGAGCATGTCGCGGGCGTCAAAGCACGCCAACCCTTCCCAAGATGCCCCCAAGGGCGCACAAAATGCCGGGAGAGGCCCGCAGAAAACTCGCAAGAGACCTGATGTTTGATAGCTCATGTTGCGAAGCCGCTGGTAGTTTATATGAACATCGATATTGAAACACATGCGACGCTCAACATTGTTGAAGTAGTTCGGCATGCGCGCACGACGCCGCGAGCGTGCTCACATTGTCAAATGCGTTGCAAGGGGTTCTTCAAAACTGAAGATGTATTGATTGGTTGTTTGTATTTCTTTTCGAAAAACAACATGAGCCCGACGAAAGACCCAATCATATGCAGCTGCGAGTACGGCGAGGGAGATAAGACGAAGGAGGGGAACACGTAAACTCCGAGTAACCCACGCAGAATAGCCTTCTGTCACGAAACGTGTGACGGGCTTGCCGACATGAACCGGAAAGACGCATGCGAACGTCGCCATTGGGGCTTTCCGTGGAACTCCCTATGGGGCCGCGAAGCGTGTGAGGGGTGTGCCGAAATCGGGTGGCGGTGCCATGCGAACTTTCCCACTGGGGCCTTAGGTGGAGCTCCTTATGGGGTCACGCAACGTATGAAGGGTGTGCCGAAATGGGGCGGCGGTGCCATTAGGTGAAGCTCCTTATACGACCACGAAACATGTGAGGGGTGTGCCGGCATGGGGCGGCGGTGCCATGTGAACTTTTCCACTGGGGCCTTCGGTGGACTTCCCGATGGGGCCACGAAAAGTGTGAACGGTGTGGGGGCGGCGGTGCCATGCGAACTTTCCCACGTGTGCCTTCGGTGGGGCTCCTTACTGGGCCACGAAACCTGTCAGGGCTGTGCCGAAATGGGGCGGCGGTGCCATGCGAACTTTCCCACTAGGGCGTTCGGTGGGGCTCCCGATTGGTCCACGAAGCGTGTGAGGGGTGTGCCCGAACGGGATGGGCATGCGGAGAACAGGAGGCAGGGAATGGAAATGGGCGAAGAGGGAGGAGGAGAGAAGAGGAGAGGAGGAGACGAGGAGGAAACGCAGGCCGCTGTCACTTCAAAACGAAAACCCAAAACCACAAAACGGCTGGGGAAAAACATCGAATGCGCGTCCTTGTTGACACCACTACTCGCGAACTCATCTCACCGACCCATAGCTTGTATTGCAAAGCTCCTGCGGCAGCCAATTCGATGAATGCTTGGCGTTGGTTGGCGCATCGCTGGGGCTGCGCTAGCGCTCGCAGGCTCGCGCGCACAGGGGCCAACTAGTCTGCCGTGACCGACGCGGCCGCGGTGGCGGTTACCGCTGGGGGGCCCCAGCGCGTCTCGCAGGCCGCGCTTGTGGGTGGGCACTTTCTTGCAAGTCAAATGACTCGGGCGGGCGCGGCATCATTGCGACGTCGACAACAGCAGAAGCGATGATGATAGTAGCGATGCAAGTGACGATAATGACGATGACGGCGGCCAAGCCAATGACGGCGCCGACGGTGATCACGCTGGTGACGACATTGGTTTCCAAGTGTCGGCGAAGGGTGTTTTGGCATGGTTTCAACAGGCGCGCGCGGCCGCTGCAAGCGAGTGCTCCGCATGGTACTATTGACAGGGACCGCCCCCTCCCCACCCCTCCCCCGAGCACGCGCGAAAGGGCGTTCGACTGATATCGGCACGCGCGCGAAAAGCCCGTCTGGTCGCACTTGATGCAAATGGGGGGGAACAACAGCTACGTCAAGCTTAGCAACAACGCAACAACGTGCGCAAAGCTTGGTGGACGAATCACGCTGCAACACACATGTTTTTTTCTGACTTCTCCGATACACACGATTTGCCGTCATTGCGGGGCCCAAAATGGTTTTGAATGACTCCGGCACGCGCGCGCGCGACGACGCGCGCGTGTTGACTTTGTCGGTACTGTTGTGAAATATGATTGGCAACTGACGGGCTGTGATAATCGAGCGCGCGCTGTATCATTTGTCGGGCTTGACGGGGGGGGGCGACGCCGGCCTGCCTGGGACGGTACAAGTTCGTATATGTGTATACACATACATACGTACCTACATACATACGTTTATGTATATATACGTATATATATATATATATAGTCGAAGAAACAAGCATTTATGTACATATATATACACGTATATGTATGTATGTATATATACACACACGAAAAGACAAACATCGTCGCATGTAAACTGCAGATGCCCAGAGGAGGCGGACGAGTCCAGGCGGGGGGGTACTGTATATCCGATTGACGATTTCAAAAGACAACTCAACTTTTTGAAAGCGCTTCAAGTTGCCAGTTCCACTGCTCGCGCAATCATCCACAGCCCACCCACCCGCAACTTGGTCTGCAAAACGCACGTGGCGGCGATTGTGATGACTGCTCGGAGCTGGCTGGCGCATCGCTGCGGCCGCGCAAGCGCGCAGGCTCGCGCGCACAGCGGCCAACTAGTTTGGCGCACCCGACGCGGCCGCGGCGGCGCTGGCCGCGGGGGCTCCCAGGCGCGCGTACGCTGCAGTGCGAGTCGGTGGCCTGGGCGGGCACGACATCACGGCGACGACGGCAACTTCTTAGTCAAGCCGCGGAGCGAAAGCTCAGCGTCACTATCGGCGGGCCGATGCCCGCCCACTCCGTCGCGCTCGTACTCAGGCAACGCGCGCGAAAGGCAGCTGGTTGGCAGGACAGAGGAGGCCCACAGAAAGCCGATGCACGAGACGGACGGAGAGCACAACGTACAAGGTGATTCTGTCTGTCTCTCGGACGCGAGCGCCTCCTCCTCCTCCTCCTCCTCCTCCTCCTCGTCCTCCTCCTCTTCCTCCTCCTCCTAGGGGGGAAAATGAGGCGCTGCCCCTAAGGGGCCGCCTGGCCAGCCAGTCACTTGGCGCGCTCAGCGCCGCTTTGCCTCTGCCCGGGCCGCCCCAGACTTCCTCGCGCACTGAAGGAGTCGCGGCGGACGGTGCTCTGCCGTCGTCGGCCTTCAGTCGGCGGCGAGCCCGGGGGGGGGGAAAGGGAGGAGGAGAAAGCCTTCTCGGAGGGCTCGGAAGCTCCCCGACCTCCTGAGAGTGCCTCCCCCCCTGGAGGCACGGGAAACTTCTCGGAGGACCGCAGGGCGTCTGAGAGAGGCCCCGCCACCTTCTGGGCAGGCCTCCTCCTTCCCACTTCCCCCCCTCGCTCGCCGCCGAGTCCAGGGGAGCCCAGAATCAATCGATAAATCGAATCGGCGATCGAAATAAATCGGATCGGTGGAAATCAGCAGCCGAGCCGGGAAAAGTCGAATTGGGGGAAATCGGAAGGCTAGCTTGCGTCCAATAAGGAGTCGGAGCCCACATCGGAATCCAAAATCGAATCGAATTGAAATCGGAATCTATCGAAGCCGAATCGAATCTAAACGAGCCCTGCGAGTCCCTCTCTCTCTCTCTCTCCTGGCCTTTCTGGACTCGCCCAGGGAGGCCTCCAGGAACGGGCGGTGCGACAGCACCTCGGCCACGAGAGGGCGGGGCAGCCAGCGCGCGCGCGCAGAGCAGCAGCAGAGGGGCCCAGGGGCACACACGCACACAAACAGATAGGCTTAAGTCGCGCATGTCCCCCTGGAGGCGGATTGTGGACGAAAATGAAACATACTCCAAACTCCAAACAGAACCCAGACTTCTCAATTCAAATCCCAAGATCGTCCCCAGACTATGTTTGGACTATGTTTGAACATTCCTGCTGTAGAGGGGGCATGCCCGATTTAAAGATAGGCACTCATCCATATTCTCGGGGAGTTCGTCCTCCCCTCCACTTCCCCCCGCCTGTTCTAGGCATGGGTCCGAGAGGAGTGAGACACGAGCCGAAAATCCCAGCCTATCGCCCCAAGAGGCCCCAAGAGTCCCCAAGAGGCTCCCAAGAGGCCCCAAGAGGCCCCAAGAGGCCTTCAAAGGGCCCCCAAGAGGCCCCCAGACGGCCCTCAAGAGGCCTCGAAATTGCCTCCAACAGGCCCCCGATAGGCCTCATAATTGCCACGCCCAGGCGCGGTGGCGGGACTTGCCGTACGCAGCTGGATACTTTCCCGGGGATCGGCGGTGTGTGTGTGTGTGTGTGTGCTCTGTGCGGCTGTGCGGCGGCAATGCGGCGGCTGTGCGGCGGCTGTGCGGCGGCTGTGCGGCGGCTGTGCGGCGGCTGTGCGGCTGCTGTGCGGCTGCTGTGCAGCTGCTGTGCGGCGGCTGTGCGGCGGCTGCGCGGCGGCTGTGCGGCGGCTGTGCGGCGGCTGTGCGGCGGCTGTGCGGCGGCTGTGCGGCGGCTGTGCGGCGGCTGTGCGGCGGCTGTGCGGCGGCTGTGCGGCGGCTGTGCGGCGGCTGTGCGACGGCTGTGCGACGGCTGTGCGGCGGCTGTGCGGCGGCTGTGCGGCGGCTGTGCGGCGGCTGTGCGGCTGTGCGGCTGTGCGGCTGTGTGCGGCTGTGCGGCTGTGCGGCTGTGCGGCTGTGCGGCTGTGCGGCTGTGCGGCTGTGCGGTTGTGCGGTTGTGCGGCTGTGCGGCTGTGCGGTTGTGCGGCTGTGCGGCTGTGCGGCTGTGCGGTTGTGCGGTTGTGCGGTTGTGCGGCTGTGCGTCTGTGCGTCTGTGCGTCTGTGCGTCTGTGCGTCTGTGCGTCTGTGCGTCTGTGCGTCTGTGCGTCTGTGCGTCTGTGCGTCTGTGCGTCTGTTTGTGCGTCTGTGCGTCTGTGCGTCTGTGCGTCTGTGCGTCTGCGCGTCTGCGCGTCTGTGCGTCTGCGCGTCTGCGCGTCTGCGTCTGCGCGTCTGTGCGTCTGTGCGTCTGTGCGTCTCTGCGTCTCTGCGTCTGCGTCTGTGCGTCTGTGCGTCTGTGCGTCTGTGCGTCTGTGCGTCTGTGCGTCTGTGTCTCTGTGTCTGTGCGTCTGTGCGTCGTGAGTCTGTGCGTCGTGCGTGTTGCGTCTTTGCGTGCGTGCGTGAGTGCGTGCGTGCGTGCGTGCGTGCGTGCGTGCGTGCGTGCGTGCGTGCGTGCGTGCGTGCGTGCGTGCGTGCGTGCGTGCGTGCGTGCGTGCGTGCGTGCGTGCGTGCGTGCGTGCGTGCGTGCGTGCGTGCGTGCGTGCGTGCGTGCGTGTGTGTGCGTGCGTGCGTGTGTGTGTGTGTGTGTGTGTGTGTGTGCGTGTGCGTGTGCGTGTGCGTGTGCGTGTGCGTGTGCGTGTGCGTGTGCGTGTGCGTGTGCGTGTGTGTCTGTGTTTTTCTCCCTCCTGACGAGAGGGAGCTGGAGAATGGCGCAGCGATTGCTCGCAGGTCGGAAGCACTGGCCGACACGGGAGCCCCAGAGGTGGGCCAGAGCCATTCAACTGTCTGAGCTGATCCGGGCAATGGAAGACATGTCTGCGGAGATCAAATATCGAGGCTTCTGCGCCGTGAGGAATCCACGAATGACGTTGTCGCCTCCAGCTCGGGCCAGGGGGCCTCGCTGGTCGATCCGGCTCGAGAATGACAGCACGAGCACAGCTGCGCGCCCTGATGATTCACGACGTTGTGATTTACCCACCGCGCCACATCTTAACAGACCAACCTGTGTACGTAGGTCCCCTGCGATGTGAACCAATCAGTTTGATGTGGACGGCGCCCGCTGCGCAGCACCACGTCGCAACGGGGATCGTGCACACGAGCTCGAACACGCAGGCCTCCACGATTTTCGCTCTGGCTACTTGGGTGGCCCCGCGGACCGAATGGGGTCCCGAAGAGGCCCAACACAGTGTAAAACTGGCCGCCTCGGGTTTTCCAAGCCGCCAGAAGACCAAGGGCAGGCCGGCTTTGGAGTACCATGTAGGACCTGCTCTGGAACAGGAGCATACCGTAGACGGATCTACCCTTTCTCCATCTCTCCATCCTTGGACCGCGCCGAACGCAACGGCGGCGCTGTCTATAGCACCAACCCCGAATGTATGTACAAACCCAAACACAATGTGTCTAGCACCCCGTACCCCGAATACCACGGCATCCGCCCCCCCTTCACACCTAAGACTGTATTATCCCTGGCCAAGACAGGCCTGGGGTCAGCACCCCGATCAGCAGCTCGAGCCCAAGCCTGCAAGGCGGGGATCTATCCATCACCACCGCCTAGGGGTTCGATCTCCGGGGTCCTCGGCTGGCGGTGGATTCGACACAAGGGACCCCAAGCCCGCACATCTGCATGCCCACCGACCGCCGCCCAATATTGACCCCCTGAGCAGTGCTCATGGATATCCCCTGCCTCGGAAAGCCCAGCCGTGACCGTCAGCAGAGCCTCCAGGCGGCAGAGGCAGGCGAAGACGACGCGGGGATGAGCCAGCGGGGAGAATGCCGAAAGGAGGACGCCAAGCGATCGAACCGAGCCCTGCCGTGGTGGCCAGGCGGGCCCACGGGAGGCGAGGGAAGGCGAGGGCGCAAAGGCGTGAGCCAGCGGGAGGCTTCCAGAGCGAGCGCGCCGCTGACGAAGGAAGCCGAAGAGAGGAGGCTGGCTCAGGGGTGGAGACACCCGCGTGAAGCCGACGGTGCTTCGCCGATGGATCGGCGACCCAATGCCAGTAACAGAAGAGGGCACTCTGGGGCCCCGATCGTCGACGAGTGTGCTATCAGAGGTCGATTTCCCATCAAGCCCATCCCTGGAGGCCTCTCCAGTCTCCAGAAGCCGCTGGACCGTTACGGCTGCCTCGTGGGATGCCATGCCGCCCTGCCAAAGGGATGCCAGCACTCTCGGCCGATGTTCTTCTCAAAAGGGGTTAACCCAACGCAGGAGGGTTGGGAAAGACCACAGATATCCTCCTCCTCCTCCTCGTCTTTTCGAGGCCCCGCGGCTTTCGAGAATCTGCTTATCGGGCGCAGCGGCCTTTCCTAGGCTAACATGCCTTGACAGAACCATTCGATTCGAAGCGTCTGGCCAGAATTCCGAGGCGAATCCAGCCGTGGCGACGAGGGCCTCCCCAGGACGCTCGAAAGGGTACAGTCAAGTCGGGCGTGTCCCCCTGCAGGGGGATTTTGGATGAAAAATGCAGTAAATCCTCAAAAAGTACTCCCCAAATGCTGAGCAACAAATGATGAACAAAATCGTCCCCAGACTATTTTTTGACGATTCTTGGATTATTCCCCCTGTAGAGGGACCAGCCCGACTTACGGGTAGAGCCGAGGGCAGGGCAGCGCGGAGCGCGGAGCGACGGAGCCCTGTCCTGGCCCCGCGCCCGCCGCCAGCCGCCCCCGGCCCTGGCGCTGCTGGAGTCAGGTCTGGGCGTGTCCCCCTGCAGTCGGGAGCGGCCAGGGAGGAGGGTGTCCCAAGAGAGGGGGGTGCAGATCATGACTGGCGGCATGTGCGCGGCCCGGCGGGGGGGCCAGGGACGCAATGAAACGAGAAGAGGCGCCGTGAAATCTGGGGAAATATCATGGCCCACGCCATGATATCCACCACCACCCCTGGTCATCACCCCCCTCTTGGCCGCCCCCGCCTGCAGGCGGATTTTGGGCGAAGAACGAAACATACCCCAAAACATCATCAAACATAGCAAGAAAAGACTCCAAACCAAAATTGGTCCCAGGACTGTTTTCTGACTATTTTTTCAGATTCCTCCTGTAGAGGGACGGGCCCGACTTCATGCTAGAAGTGCCTCTGGCCCCAGGTGCCCCCCAGGGATTCCAGGGCCTCAAAAGCAACCAACGAGGCACAGAGGGCACCAGGGACTCAAACATCGGGAGGAAAAAGCAGGGGCGCCTTGGGCTAGGTTGGGTATGCCCCCCTTCAGGCGGATTTGGGAGAGAAACAAAAAGTAGTCAAGGAATTGAAACATAGTCAAACGTTTGAAAAAGTAAAAACATCGTCCTCTGATCATCTTTTAAAACCATGTTTGAATACTCCTCCTGTAGAGGGGCACGCTTGGGCCAAGGGCGCTTACGTACAGCAGCCCCCGAGCGGGCCCGAGCGCCCCGCCCCGGGCGCGGCGAGCCCCGGAATGGACGCCGCCACCACCCGCACGGAGACCCGGAACGATGGCTCGCTGGTCTGGCGCGCGGGCCGGGCTCGTGGCTCGTGGCTCGGGCGAAAATCAGAGGGGGGGGGGTGAGAATCAGCTCACGCAGCCGATTTTTCGGGCGCCTCCCGGCGCTGGAGAAGGCTCTCTCTCTCTCTCTCTCTCTCTCTCTCTCTCTCTCTCTCTCTCTATATATATATATCTATATATATAAATACATACATACATACATACATACATACATACATACATACATACATACATACATACATACATACATACATAGATACATACATACATACATACATACATACACACACATACATACATACAGACAGACAGACAGACAGACAGACAAACAGACGGACAGACATACACACATATATACATCCATACATGCATACATAGATGCATGCACGCATGCATAAATACATACACACATCACATCACATCACATCCCATCCCATCCCATCCCATCCCATCCCATCCTATTGCATTACACTACACTACACTAAACTACACTACGCTACACTACACTACACTACACTACACTACACTGCACTGCACTGCACTGCACTGCACTGCACTGCACTGCACTGCACTGCACTGCACTGCACTGCGCTACACTACACTACACTACACTACACTACACACATATATATACGTAGCACCCCGCTATTGCGGATAAGAGTGAGGGGGCGGGCGCGGGCGACGCGGGCGTCGTCGAGCCGGCGGACCTCGTGGCCCCCACCTTCCTTGACGATGGCGCTCTCCTCCACCTCCTCCTCCTCCTTCTCCTCCTCTTCCTCCTCCTTCTCCTCCTCCTCCACCTCGTCCTCCTCCTCCACCTCGTCCTCCTCCTCCTCCTCCTCTTCTTCCTCGTCCTCCCTCTCCCCCCCTCGTCTTTTCATCATGGTCCTCCCATTGTCGTCCCCCCCCTCATCGGCCTCCATCATCGTCCTCCCATTGTCGTCCATCATCATCATCATCCTCCCCATCCTCCCCCTCCTCGTCCTCTTCCTCCCCCTCCTCCCCCTCCTCCCCCTCGTCCTCCTGCTCCTCCTCCTTTTCTTTCTCCACGTTCTCCTTACATCCTCTCTTCTTCCACGTTCTCCTCGTCCCCTGTTTACTCATCCTGCCTCCCCCTCCTTTCCCAAGATAACTGCAACGCAATCCTTTTTTCCACTTTATGCTCCCCGCCTTCTCTGATCAAGGCAACTCGCCAGGGCAAAGTTGCTGGACGGGCTGGCGTGGATGTGCGGGGCGTGAAGAGGTCCTTGCGGGCTCAGACGGCATGCAAGAATCCGCCGCTGCGCTTGTGCGGCATTGGTTTGTTCAGTGAACGTGGTTTAGGTCGCGGGTGGGTCGCGGGCTCTCCACCTCCACCTGGAAGGAATGCAAAAGCAGCCCGCCGCAAACGCCAAAAACATTTGTTCGTACACGGAACGAGGTTTGGGTCGCGGGTGGGCCGCGGGTTCTCCACAGGGAACGAATGCAAAGGATGCCCGCCGCAGGCGCCGAAAGTGTGGTTTGTACCCTGAACGTGGTCGCGGGTGGGCCGCGGGCTCTCCACCTGAAGCGAATGCAAAATATGCCCGCCGCAGGCGCCGAAAAATGTGGCTTGTACCCTGAACGTGGTTTGGGTCGCGGGTTGGTCGCGAGTTGGTCACGGGATGTGTCGCGGGCTCTCCACTTGGAAGGAATGCAAAAAAGCCCGCCGCAGGCGCCGAAAATTGTGGTTTGTACCTTGAACGTGGTTTGGGTCGAAGGTGGGTCGCGGGTGGGTCGCGGGGTAGGGTGGGTCGCGGGTGGGTCGCGGGTGGGTCGCGGGTGGGTCGCGGGTGGGTCGCGGGGTGGGTCGCGGGGTGGGTCGCGGGTTGGGTCGCGGGGTGGGTCGCGGGGTGGGTCGCGGGGTGGGTCGCGGGGTGGGTCGCGGGTGGGTCGCGGGTGGGTCGCGGGTGGGTCGCGGGGTGGGTCGCGGGTGGGTCGCGGGGCGGGTTGCGGGTGGGACGACGACAACAAACAAACAACAACAACAACAACAACAACAATCATTTTACCCGAACGCTGGTGTTCTCACCAGTGCCAGGGTTTTCATGCGACGCCAGACAATACCCCCACTTCGTGGGGGGGCATTCAAGCTCTACCAAATATCCAAACGACTCTTCGCGACCACCCAAACCCAGCTTCCCGCCCTATGACGTTGGGACACTTCACTTCGTGGCGTGCGGACGACCGTGGCTACTACACTGGCGTGGGGTACACACCCACAGAACTTGGTCACTTATTCGGGGCGCGCGTGTGCCCAGCATCCTGCAATTGTGACATACAATACATGACACAGACAGACAGAGAGAGAGACAGAGAGCAGACAGAGAGAGAGACAGAGAGAGCGGAGTTGGTCACATTTTTGGGGCAAGTTCCTGAGATCGTCGTGTTTTTTGTTGGTCTTGCGCGCGCGAATGTCCACTTTACTTTTTTTGCAAGGGAGTATTGAAATTTGATTATGTTAGGAACAAGAAAAAGTAGCTCGCGCGAGCTCATGTAACATAAATGTTGAAAAACCATTGGTTTTGTGGGAGTCGGACAGCGCGCGCGGGATGAAATTTGGACATTTTTTTTTGAAAAACCATTGGGTTTTTGATGTTTTTATGTTGAAATCGTTACGAAACCTAAGGTTCTGGAAGGATTTCGTCTTGCGCGCGCGAATGTCCACTTTACCTTATTTTTTTGCAAGGGATTATTGAAATTTGATTATGTTAGAACAAGAAAAAGTAGCTCGCGCGAGCTCATGTAACATAAATGTTGAAAAACCATTGGTTTTGTGGGATTCGGACAGCGCGCGCGGAAGGACATTTTGACAATTTTTTCTTAAAAAACCATTGGGTTTTTGATGTTTTTATGTTAAAATCGCTACGAAACCTAAGGTTTTGGAAGGATTTCGTCTTGCGCGCACGAATGTCCACTTTACCTTATTTTTTGCAAGGGATTCTTGCAATTTGATCAAGTAAGAACAAGAATTTTCATTTTATAGTGTTTTTTGCAAGGGAAAACGGGGGGGAAACAAAACAACCGGATCCGGACACAATCGTTTTGCCTGAGACTTCCTCACGAAAATGATGAAAATGTAGCTGCGGCCTAGGCGCGGCGGGGGGGCCGTGCACCAGGGGTCCCAACAATAATTATTCTTTAGAATTAATAATGTTCAACAACAACAACAACAACAACAACAATTACTAGCACGTGGGGACACTCCGTTCTCACCAGTGCCAGGGTTTTTCATAGGAGGCGGGCAATACCCCCACTTTGTGGGGGGGCCGGTTCAAGCTCTACCAATTTCCAAACGACTCTTCGCCACCACCCACACCCAGCTTCCCGCCCTATGACGTTCGGACACTTCACTTCGTGGCATGCGGACGACCGTGGCTACTATTCAGGGCCCCGCGGCCGACGACGACGGCGTGCGCGCGCGAAGAAAAAACGAATGTGTCCCGCATGGTATTATTTGACAGGGATGATGGCCCTGGCAGGTGCGCAACCGTTGTCGCAGAAGTTCGAAAAAGTTGCTCGCAAAAGCCCGTTTGACAGAAATGTTTAAAAAGTGTTGGGTTTCCTACGAATCCGCAAGAGCGCGCGGGATGAGATTTTGACATTTTTTTGTTGAAAAACCATTGTTTTTTTGATGTTTTTATGTTAAAATCGTTCCGAACACTAAGCTTTTGGAAGGATTTCGTCTTGCGCGCGCGAATGTCCACTTTACCTTATTTTTTGCAAGGGATTCTTGAAATATTGATTATATTAGAACAAGAAATGTCATTTTATAGTGTTTTTTGCAAGGGAAAACGGATTACAACAAAACAACCGGATCTGGATCACATCGTTTTACCTGAGGCTTCCTCACGAAAATGATGAAAATGTAGCTGCGGCCTAGGCGGCGCAGGGGGGGCGCGCACCAGGGGGCCCAACAATAATTATTCATTAGAATAAATAATGTTCAACAACAACAACAACAACAACAACAACAACAACAACAACAACAACAACAACAACAACAATTACTAGCACGTGGGGACACTCCGTTTTCACCAGTGCCAGGGTTTTCATAGGAGGCGGGCAATACCCCCACTTTGTGGGGGGGCCGGTTCAAGCTCTACCAAATTTCCATACGACTCTTCGCCACCACCCACACCAGCTTCCCGCCCTATGACGTTCGGACACTCCACTTCGTGGCATGCGGACGACCGTGGCTACTATTCAGGGCCCCGCGGCCGACGACGACGGCGTGCGCGCGCGAAGAAAAAACGAATGTGTCACGCATGGTATTATTTGACAGGGATGATGGCCCTGGCAGGTGCGCAACCGTTGTTGCAGAAGTTCGAAAAAGTTGCTCGCAAAAGCCCGTTTGACAGAAATGATTAAAAAGTGTTGGGTTTCCTACGAATCCGCAAGAGCGCGCGGGATGAGATTTTGACAATTTTGTGTTGAAAAACCATTGGTTTTTTTATGTTTTTATGTTAAAATCGCTACGAACACTAAGGTTTTGGAAGGATTTCGTCTTGCGCGCGCGAATGTCCACTTTACTTTATTTTTTGCAAGGGATTATTGAAATTTGGTTATGTTAGAACAAGGAATGCCCACTTTGCCTTATTTTTTGCAAAGGAAAACCGCCCGTAACAAAACAACCGGATCCGGACCAACCCGTTTTGCCTGAGACTTCCTCACGAAAATGATGAAAACGTGGCTGCGGCCTAGGCGCGGCGAGGGGGTCGTGCACCAGGGGTCCCAACACTAATTATTCTTTAGAAGTAATAATGTTCAACAACAACAACAACAATCATTTAAGACTGGGGACACTCCGTTCTCACCAGTGCCAGGGTTTTCATAGGAGGCGGGCAATACCCCCACTTTGTGGGGGGGCCGGTTCAAGCTCTACCAAGATTCCAAACGACTCTTCGCCACCACCCACACCCAGCTTCCCGCCCTATGACGTTCGGACACTTCACTTCGTGGCCTGCGGACGACCTTGGCTACTAC